GGGATCAGGAGTTGCCGGTTTGCGCCAGTGTTCTTGAGCAGGACGAACAGTGTTAAGCAGTACAACGTCAAGAATACGCCTGTTTGAGACCGTGAAATTCGGCACCATGATGACATCTCCATCGGTTGGTGACGCACCATAAAACAAAGTCTCAAAAAACAAAGCTAAGAGTGAAGCTTCATCCAAAGGTATGCCCATGATTACGATCGGTAATGTGTTGAATCAGATTCAAACAGGGTAACCGGCCAATGAAGTTTCTAGGTGAGTGTAGTCACCGCCCCTCCTTTAAGTATTTTCGGCCACTTAACTTGTGAGCGGTTTGATACTCAATGAGCATAGACATTTTGTAATTCGACGCTGTGTTAGTGACTATTCCGCAGAACGCATCTGATGGGCCCGACTGGGCCGCACGAGTCTGAATGGCCACAATGCATCCAAAGAATGTGACTGTTGGTAAGGCGACCCATCATGATATTACATAGCTTGCAGTTGATGATTACCATCATGGCTGCGACTCATCAGCGAACCAGACTGGACACCAGATAATCATGACGGTGCTACTTCAAGTTTGCTTCGCGTCGGCAATCAGTTCATGATCAAAATGATGTGCACGTTACTATGTGGAGTGACAATTACGTATAAGGTGCGTTTTCTATTTATGCTTTCAAACCTGCCTCTTCGCCTGCCTTCAAAATCGCGCATTTTGAAGGTTTGCGTTGGGACTGCACTAGCTACTCCAGTACTTGTTGAAAAACTCGACCTCGTTGCCTTTACCGGGACTTTTTCATCCAAATTAGGCAAAATGATGTGAATACTTCCGCTTGATCGCAAAAGTCCCGGTGAAGGCACTGCCAGCCAGTGAGGCTGAAAAACTCGTACTGCAGTTTCAACACATGCGCTGTAACCAAGGGCCACAATATTAATATCTAGCACCAGCGTCTATCATATGCGTGCCTGCCCAGTCGTAGTAGTAAAGCGCGCAGAAGCATGTGATTTGTGCATTACACCCCTCCTATTTCACCTTTCTTTCCCACTGAACCTTCATTTCCGTTATCTAGTAACTCGGAACGGGTCACTCCATATCACTTTGATACGAGTCATTTTATGGTATTCACGCACAGCCAGCCCACCAATGGAAAAAATTACGAGTCCCTCCAGGCGCATACTTCTTGGCAGGCAACTATGTGGTGTTGACTTAAGGGGGCGCTTGAAATCAGCCGTATCCGCAGAGTCCTATCATCCGATGAATCTGTACCGTGGCTGCGTGGAGCTATAGTGTGACCCTATCAAGGTAAAGTCTGTTGATATTTTTGGATGCGACCTGAGAGCTGAAGCGCTGATCTTCCGCCCGTAGATCACATGCGTTCCTTGAATTAAACAATGAGATCAGGCATCCTTCAAGCTCGATTGAATGCTAGGCAATGGATAAGTCATCGGAAAAATTTAAACCTCGTGGAATGAGCTGCGTTATTGTGGAGATGAGCCATTTGGTGAGTGATCTGCTCCATTTATGCACATTTACAAACTTCACGCAGATATGTCCTTCCCACTCATTGATGATATTTGCCTTTCTCTCACTCTAATGTTCGCTTTTATAGACGCTTGCACGGTGCGCTGCTCGACCCTAACTGACACCAGCCTCTGTGCTCTTGGATTTCTGGCAGATCGCACACTGCAGCCCATCGAATGCAAGTTCGCCAGAGATATTAGTAGATGCAACAGACATTGGCGACACTCACCAGGGCCCAGCTTCAAGTCGGCTATACATTGGTATCCCATTTGTCTTGCCTACCACTTGTGCGATACTACGCACAAAATCCCAAATCGATCACACTGGCCACGTCAGAATGTCGTGCACCATACTGTAATAACTCGATTATCCACTTTCTGCTTATAATGCACGACCTAATCTCACTGGAACACAACACCTGTTAGTTGGGTTCTAGGAACCGCTCACAATCGCAACTCTTTCTGCCCCCGGCTTAAGCCCGACTGTCCCCCATGTGGTAAGTTCTGCAAGCTTGGAACGATACCAATAACATGCGTCATAAGTGCCTTAGTCATATATTATGCGTTCAAGTGTTTGAGATGATGTTCCTCTATTTAAAGGTCTTCATGACCCCAAGTCAAGTAGCAGTGAAATTTACACTGAGGCAATACTCTAGAAATTCGGTTTCAGCACTAACAGACATAGACGCCGTCGAAACAGCAACAATGGCGAGGACGATGGAGAGATGCATTACTTGTGAGATGTGATGTGGGATCTCAAAAATAAATCTGAGGGGGGGGGGGGGGGGGGGGACAGTAGACGGCTTGATTTTATGTCCTGATTAGTGTTTTTTTTGCATTCACCTATTACCCCTTTCACCGGCAGACCTCAGATTTGAGTTGCCCTGTCCCCGATATCCTATTGGTGAAAGAACCCTAAATGCTGGTAATGTGTAAATCCAAACTCGTTGCATTATTATATGGTCTACGTTAGGTGACACGAAGATTGCGGAAGCTCGGGGGCCTTATGGATCTGAGGGAACGACGAGTGAAGTTCTGGGGTCTGCAAAACATCGATGATGGTCCAGACTCTGCTATACCATCCCCCGATAAATTAATCATTCATCCGGTCACATAGGTTCGCTGGATTGTTGAGTTTTCCAGGTATTGACACTAGGTTGCTAGCGCTTAGACTGGTGACCAGCCCGTCTATCGACGGCTTGCCTCATAGACGGGGTGGTCACCAGTCTAGCTAGCGCTAAGTACGCGGTGTCAATTCTCATCGATATCCTTCAGTACTAGATAAAGGCCGAGCCTCGCCGGCAGCAACCTTGTACCACTAGAATGGGACTGAACTTCATTGGCAGGAACCTTGTTTACCATTTCAACAGGCTTTGTTCTGGCAAGGATTTTGTACAATAGTAAGATACAGCTATATCCAGAGGTATGATGTTGCGACCCTTCGGTCGACTCCTCGACACCAATTGACTGTGAGTAAGGGGATACGTTCGAAGGTTGAGCCCCGTTCGTGCTAGCGTCCAACCTTGATTAAATATAGTTGCATACGTGGGTCGCAAAAGAAACTGTCTTCGATTTACAGTCCACGATGAACAGTTAGGCAAAGATGCAGTGGCTTTCGAAAGTATTGATGAGTTGAACTTCAACGAATTGGCGATGCAGAGCAACTACGCGCACACGCGCGTTCCTGACCAATCCTTTTTCTACGGGGAGGTTTTATTGAATGGCGCAAATGCAATTCTGTTTGAGATCCAGATTCCAGGCGATGAGGAGGTACCAAGGTAGTCACGGGTACTTATGTGTTCTGGCGCATTTAATGGAGTGTGCGGCTGGGCTTTTTTCAGGCTGTCTGAACTAAAGCAAGATTCTAGGTTGTCTTGCAAGAGGAGTGTGTGCTTGATGTCTGTTCGAAAATCGCCTGGCAATTTGTCCAGAATTTTGTCGTTGAATTCACCGACGTTTCAGCGTCTTCGAGAACATGTAGTGGGAAGAGGAAGTTAATGGTATCGTCGAAGTTTGTAGTCGTTGCTATGAGTGCGAGATTCTGTCGATTTAGGGAGCAGTCTTCTCCAATGCGATCCACGAATGCAGTATGGAGACTCAAAATTCGCATGTCTGGTCATAGCGCCAATGATTTCACTGCTACCAAAGTTGTTGTCTTACCTGCTCCGCTGAAAATAAGACCTGCTTGCAGAAAATCTCCCAATCCTACGAATGGTACTCCGATAGATTCCGTCTTCAGTAGAAAGAATATTGACACCAGTTTCCACTCACTCCAGCATATGCTATCACGACGCCGCCAAGTGGTGGACTTTCCCCATTTGATGTATACGTCGCACTCTCTCGAGGACATGGTAGAGAGGATATACGTCTTCTATGTGATTTTGACGAGAAGTTGCTAACGACTCGCCCAAATGAATATCTTTGTTTGAAGACCAACAGATTGTGAAGCTTGACCAGATAACGGAGCAGTGGTGGTGGTGGGATTCAAAGACGCAGGGAGCCATAATATATTGATTGCAGATTCATTCAGAGTTGGACAACAAACATATGCGCTTGTTTAATGTTACCTTATAACAGTACATGTACAGTATTCCCGTATGCACACATCGCAGTACTAGTACTTGTAAATGTAAATAATCTCTCACGGGGGTCATAAAGTGGGATCGTACAGCCACAATTATTTGGGTTTAATTTTATTTACACTAAGCTAATGGGTCGCGTGATTCCCAGCGTCGTTGCGAACGACGTGAACCTTGTTTGAGTTTGACTCAAATATCCTCCACTCGGTGGGCGTGATATGAGCTGGTCATTGGCAGCCGCGACCAGTGTGTTTTCACGTGTTGGGGATTTGTTAATCCCTGTTTTCATTCTCAGTTACTCCTATAGTGGAGTAGAGCTTGCTTAGCGAGCGACTCAGGTTAGAATTGATTTGTCCTCTTTCTAACCTTTCCCGTCACTTCGCTAGGTGAGCTAGTCGTTAGATTGGTTTGTATACCTCTTTCTAACCTTTCATGTCGCTTCGCTAGCTAGTTATTTTGAGCACTATCAAACCGCTACCCTCGACGCAACAAACTACAGAGCGACAAACAACAGAGCGTTCAACCGATCTCAGCTGTATTGAACAGTGCAACGAGCTCATTAATCAGTATCGGCTCGGGCATATCGGGAAAGCCATCACCATACTTGACATCTGAGAGAGTCTTCTCCAGTCTCCTGCGGTTAGGAGCGGAAGAAACATTAACGAAGCCCTCGATGTCTTCATTGGAATGCTCGACAGTATCGATGCCTCAAAAGCACAAGCTTTGGAAAGAGGACATTGAAGTAGCGGAACCTTTGAGGAAGAGGAAGCTAATAGAGAGGATAGGAGAAACGATAACCCTGAAGAAACAGAAGCAGGACGCAAGCAGCCAAGAGTTGCCACTGATTCAGAGGATGAAGATGAGCCCAGTTCAAAGCGCGCCAAGACTGTTGACTCCAGTAAATTTCCCTGGATGCAAAGACGGTCAACAGCGCTTGCCTCTCTACCTCAGGATATCAGAGAAACCTACCAGCAACTCGAAAACTTTGCTGCTGACCCAAAGAGCGTTGTCAACGACATCCTATCCACTCCAGGGTGTCCACCCTTCCCTCCTAGCGAATGGCTCAATGTTGTCCGGTGGAAGTACGTCATCCTCGCTAAGGTCCTCAACTCAGCTCATACGACCGAGCTGGATCCCAAAAAGACCCACGTCATTGATGACGAGATTGAGCTTGCCTTGCAAGTCTCCAAGTCTTCAATGGGAATTAAAACATCCTCTGACCATAATATCGCCTTCTCCATGTACATTGAAGCAATATCCTTCGTCTTCCCTCAGCGAAGAGATGAATTTATGCAATACAACACCTACCTTAGTCGACTCTTCCATGCCATGGAAATCCGCCTTCACTCACATGTCATTGAATTTGACCAATCCGTTAGAAATCAAGTGGCCATGCAAAGAAACCTACGCCTCACTGATTATCCCCAATTTGAGCACCTCAGAACGACCTTCCTCACCTCCTTTGGCGTTGGTGCCAATTCCACCTCATCCGCATCTAGTTCCGGGGGAAGATCGAATCAGAGAGACAGATATGGAGGAAGGGATGATCCCTGTCATAAATGGAATAGAGGAACCTGCCAGAAATCAGATGGTGAATGCCGGTTCTCGCACTGCTGTGATCGAAGAGGATGTCGTGGCCCCCATCAAAAATCAGAATGTCTGAATAAAGGAGGGTCTAAATGAGAGTATCGCGCTAGGACAAAGATTTCGGCGCAAAGGAGTATGGGGAAGAGGTATCTCTGGATGTAGCCGAACTGCGCTCTGGACAGAGACTGCGGCTCCCATGCCTAGGCCACCTGAACGCGAATTTTTGAACCATGGAGCACTTGATACTATTCAGCAACATCCCTCTTTGTTTGAAGTCTCTTCGCCTATCAAAGTCAATGTCTTCGAATCTCTACTTGTGGACCATCCTAATCAGCCCGTTGTTCATTTGGTTTGTACTGGACTTAGGGAAGGTTTTTGGCCCTTTGCCGATTCTCATCCTGAGGAATGGCCTCTCATCTATGATAATTCTGATCGGCCTCCCAAGACTGAGGCTGAGAAAGAGTTTCTACATGCGCAAATTGAGAAGGAAGTTGATGTAGGGTGTTATTCTCAGGCATTCAGACCAGATCTGCTTCCTGGCATGTACAGCATGCCTATCCATGCTGTACCTAAACCAGGAACTAACAAGCATCGACTGGTTACCGATCATAGTGCTGGGAAACATTCCCTGAATGCCATGATCTTGCATGATGACATTGCCGGCGTCACTCTGGATAATGTGCATGATTTGGCTAATGGTTTACGGGTGTTTAGGCACTGGAAACCTCACGCTAAACTCAACCTTTGGAAGGCAGACGTTTCGGAAGCTTATTGGCATATGCCTGTGCACCCTCTGTGGCAGGTAAAGCAAATTGTGAGTTTTCAAGGGTGTCAATACGTTGACCGAAGAAATGTTTTTGGAGGAAGAGCTTCTCAGTGGATCTATCACGCGTTCATGTCCCTAGTCATCTGGATCGCGATTTTCAAGATTCTTATCCATTTCTTGTACATTTATGTCAACGACTCTTTCTCGTTTGAAGACAAACACAGTCTTGAGCTCTATGCTCCCTACAAAAAACTCCTTCCTTCGAATCTTGTCAAACTTCTTCAACTTTGGGATGCAATTGGACTGCTGCATGAAGAGTGGAAGCAAATCTTCGGCCTTGAACTTCCTATTATCGGGTTTGATGTTGACCCTAACTTAATGCGCGCCTGTATGTCGGTCGACTCTCATACTTGTCTTATTCAAGAGTTGATTGATTTTGCTCAACATGGGTCACGAAGGTCTCTTCGTGATTTTCAGCATTTAGCTGGCTGGCTTAACTGGGCTCTCAATGTCTATCCACTGCTTAGGCCTGGACTATCGGCTCTTTATGCTAAGACTTCTGGCAAACTAGTCTCTAAAGCTCTTATCTGGGTTAACCGGGACGTCGTTCGGGAACTATCATGGGTCGTTAATCACCTCCATTCCGCTGAAGGCATCTTTTTCTTCAAATCCGTCTCCTGGAACTTCGCTCATCTTCTGGATGATGTGTTGAGAGTTTATACTGATGCATCAGGTGTCGGCTTGGTGTATTGGTTCCCTTCTCTCAATATAGGTTTTCAGTCGCCCTTGCCTGGGTCAGCACCGACTGGAACAATTTTCTATCATGAGGCCTTAGCCGTCACGGGAGCGTTACTTGATTCAGTGCCTCGACTTCGTCCAAATCAGCGAGTTGCTATATTCACTGATAATCTCAACACGGTGTCCATGTTCGATTCTCTGGCAGCTTTACCTCCTTACAACTGGCTCCTTATGACTTCAGTAGACGATGTCTTAATAACCAAGGGTCTTATATAAATACGTGTAAGAATGTAATGACACCACAATTACACTGGATAAGACTTCTTGCCAGTCCTCGATTAACATGGTCTACGACTTTTCTTCTTTCGTGGTAGATAATGTGTGAGTTCTTGGGAGGCTCGCTAAACCAATCAGTCAGATTAACTTAGCTGGAGCTTTATTATCTCTGATTGAAACTATGGGATTGTCTAGGATATACCGTCTAGACACTTGAACTGGTTTCCTGAATATACGGTTAACTGTTGAGAAGCTGGTCTCAAATGTGACTACGTGGACCAAAGCTTGTGTTGGTCAATATACAAATACCTGGTGAGAACGCTGGTCTCACAAATAACAACAATGACAAATAATAAAAAACAATGACAAATAACAACAATGACCAAAGCTCGTGTTGGTCAGTATACAAATACCTGGTGAGAACGCTGGTCTCACAAATAACAAGGTTGACCAAAGCTCGTGTTGGTCAGTAAACACTACGTGGTGAGAACACTGGTCTCACAAAACTGGGTTTCTATCGCGAGAAACTTACGTAATCTCAAGGGAAACACTTTCCCTGCACTTGTCTGGACAGTTCTTACAAAGGAAATGGGCTTTGTAAGCAGCAATTTGTTCAGACTGAAGCTTCTTAGGTGAGAGTTCAATTTGCTCAAGTGGGAGTTCTTGAATGCAACAAGTGGGAGATCTATTTTTTTGGGGGAGAATGGGCTCTCCTTATATACATTTTGTGTGGGAATATTATGTAAGTAAAAAGGTGATGTAATGACTTCAGAATGTGAGAAGAATATTCCAAAAACTGGAGCAGAATGTTCTAGCAGGTGCAAAAGAACATTCCAGAATATTCATGGTGGGATAATGACATCATTCTGAGTCACTATGAGTCACTATGAGTCATTATGAGTCATTGGAATGTTCTAGCAAATTCCATGGAACATGACATCATTATGACATCACTATGATATCATATCTTTCAACCAAAATACCTGCAGAAGTGTAGGTGAAGTCCTATGACATCATTATGACATCATACCCTGTAGGTACAATTTTATGAAGCATCTGATTAGTCAGAGCATCCTAATAGAAAAGTAAAGTAAAGAAACACTAGAGAAAACAACTCAGAAATAATGGAACAAATAATAGTACACAATACGCGGGCTTTTTAGATAGGTTTTTGTTAGGCTTTGAACTTTTCTCTATGGGTTTCTCTAGCCAAAGTGAATAAGCCAAAGGAAAGGCAATACCTTAACCTTCATTTTGCTTCTCATATCAACTAGGTCATTATGTGATTCCCATCTCACATATGACTTTTCTTCAAAACATGGTGGATTCATGAATCACTGAGGGAAAACTGAAACTATTGGACCAAGGTTTGATACCAAGGTATGGGTTGACTAGTCTGAGGACTAAGCTAACAGACTTTGTCTTTTAGGGGGATACCTAGTAGTCATGTCCATGCATGATTCCCAAATCATGCAGGACAACGCCATTCTCGCTGCTCAGATTGACTTTCGAGTATTTTTCATCTCTGGCGTTGACAACGTGGTGGCTGATCACTTGTCTCGTTGGAAAAACGCTGAGGCACAGTCTACCTCTCCAGGATTAATAATCCATCCCTTTTCACCCCCTCGAAATACGCTGGGGGCTGCTGAAAAATGATTACTATCTTGTCTCAGGCCAGGCAGCCTTCACGGGATGCTTGGTCGTTGGAGTGCTTAATTCATGAGCGCTCAGTTTTGCTAGGATTAGCGTTGGACAACAGTACTTGCCGTGCGTATTCGTCACACCTGAACTCTTATCTCACCTTCTGCAATCACCATCATCTGCCTATCGATCCTACTCCTGACACGCTATCTTATTATGTGACATTTATGTCACATCATATTCAACCTCACTCTGTCGAAGCTTATCTCTCGGGGATAGTCAATCAGCTCGAACCTCACTTTCCTCATGTCCGTCAGTCTCGGCATTCTACCCTTGTGAAACGCACAATGCAGGGAGCACTACGCAGTCTAGGTCGACCTATCATTCGCAAACATCCAATAATAAGGGACGATTTAGCTCGCGTGATTCACGCCTTACCACATCCTTTGACTCACAATGATTTATTGTGGGTCACTCAACTTCACTGCGGTTTCTACGGTCTTCTTCACCTAGGAGAATTGGTAGCCGCCGACGACCCGTCGATGAGGGACTTTACAAAGTTCTCTCTTCGTACCTCAGTCTGTGTCTCAGACACTGACTTTGGTTTCTTGATCCAGCGAGACAAGACGGACGCACGGTACGAAGGAAATAAGGTGATGATCCAATAGGTGCTAGTTGGTTCAGATCCTCTTCCTCTCTTTACACACTTCCTTGCTTCTCGCGATGCAAAATTTCCGTTGCATCCTTACCTCTGGTTGAGGAGTGATGGATGTCCACCAACTCGTTCTTGGTTCATCCAAAGGCTTCGGATGTTCTTTCCTGACTCCATTTCGGGCCATTCCATGCGGGCAGGAGGGGCAACCTCTCTAGCTGCTGCTGGAGTTTCTCCAGACCATATTCGGGCAATTGGACGCTGGAATTCGGGCACGTGGGAGCGGTACGTGCGTAAAAACCCGACGCTGTTGCAAGCGTTATTATTTCATGGTTGTCCTATGCACGACCCGCCTTTTGCCAATGTATAGCTTGTGCCGTGCATCTTTGTATTTATATCTCTTTATTTTTTCTTTATTTTTCTCTTTATTTAATCTCCCTCCCATCCCTCCCATTTAATAGTCATAATAGCGGTCGTTCCTTCCTTTTTTCGTTTTGTTTGCGGCTCTTTCGTTTATTTGGGGCTCAGATACTTATCTGCGACATCATACTGTTAGTCATCAATAACAGCCAGCTCCTCGGCATGTTGAGGAGTTGATTTTGGCTACACCAGTGTTCGTACGCCTCTCTAAATCCTGCGAGACCCATTAGAGAGTGGTAATGACCTTGTAGGTACAAGGTAACATACTTCAAAGCTTCACTGGCAGTGCACGATAGTGCACGATAATCTGCCACGATTGTCCTTGCAAATCTGCATGACAGGCTTTTGCAAGCAACACTGTTTAAATGTGTTTGACGCGAAGCTGGGAAATCACGCGAAGTCTATCTGCGTCTTTCTCCAGCCTAGCGCCGTACGTCTCTCCCCGAGTCCCCCCTCGAAAACTTACCATTATTATGCCTAGAGCACCTAAACTAGCGTACATAGGAATCCTATTACGACTGCCTCCGCTCCTGCTATGGTGTCCCAAAGTCAGTATGAAAACTTATGACAAACACGCAACATTCGTACACCTGCGCAACAACC